TCAGAACTTTAACAGAAGAGTCTTTTGAGGTGCAGTCATTGGTGTAGAGGGAGAAAAGCAAGAGAGAGAGCACGCATCCCTGAGGGGCACCTGTACTAATCAACTGGGTACTGGATATAGTTTTGCCTAACCTCACGTGTTGTTTCCTATCTGTTAGAAAGCTGATTATCCACCTACAGGTATGGTCAGGCACAGTAAGCTGGATCAGCTTGTTGTAATGGATTTCTAGAATAATAGCGTTAAATGCTGAGCTGAAGTCCACAAAAAGAACTCGTGCATAAGACTCTAGAGATTCAAGGTGTTGCAAATGTAAGGCCATGTTAACAGCATCATCTACTGACCTATTTCCTCGATAAGCAAATTGCAATGGATCTAACAGGATCCGTGATGGCTCTCAGGTGAGCCAGCACTAACCTCTCAAAGGTCTTCATAACTACAGATGTCAGTGCAACAGGTCTGTAGTTGTTCAGCTCACTGATGGAGGATTTCTTAGGAACTGGAATAATTGTAGAACTTTTAAACCAAGAAGGGACATAACACATCTCCAGAGATTTATTAAAAATACATGTGAAAACGGGGGTGTCGTTCTGCACAAACTTTCAGACAAGAGGTGATCACATCATCTGGGCCTGGAGCTTTACCAACCTTTTGTTTTTTAAATAGACCTCGCACTTCTTTTTCTAGGATCACCAGAGGTAAGGGTCCTAGGGAATTGGGAATAGATGTAGAGAAGTTTGATGCTAATGATGTATCTGAAATACAATTGCTAGCAGCAGATAGCAGTTGTTTCTTCTCAAACCTGCAGTAAAACATATTGAGGTCTGCCAATTGACAACTCTCTTCAGTCAAGAGAGGTGGGTTGTTGTAGCCGATGGCATTCTTCAGGCTTTTCCACACAGTTGCAGGATCATTTGCCAAAACTGATTTTTCAGCTTTTCTGAGTATTTTCTCTTTGCTGCCTTAATCTCTCTCGTAAGTACATTTCTGGACCAATTATACATAATCCTGTCCCCATTCCTATAGGCCTCATCACAAGCCTGTTGTTTCAGGGCTGCCACTTCCTTTTTGGGGTCTTTTTTTTTTTTTTTTTTGGTCTGTTTTTTAAGGTGCCACTGGCTGAAGGTGTGCCTGCTTTTTTCAAGCTGAGAGTCTCTTCACTGGATTGTCTCCTTGGAGGATGGCTTCCTGGAGCTTCTTGGAGCCTTGGGTTCATTTCCTGGGGCTTCTGGTATACCAGAGGAGTGGGAGCAGAAGACCTACCTGCCTTTTCAGACCTGCAGGCAGCTTCTGTGGGCTGCTTCTTTGGATTTTTTGTTGGGGAGCTGCCTGCCTTCTGAGAGTTAGGGTTAGGGTTTGATTGGTTTCGGTTTGGGCTGCTTTGACAGCATTTCTGGGGTGTTTCAAGGTAAGGAATGTGGGTTGTTTTTCTGGGGAGGTTGAGGGGATGTGTGGGTGGAGGGGTTGGAGTTCTTTTTATCTTGCTTTCTAGTTTGCCCTTTTGTATTCATTTGCTTTATAGTTTGCTGTTGCCCACCCTTCCAGTTAGGGGAGGTTAGGGTTTATGTAGAAGGGTTACATAGCATATTAAAAAGCAGAGATGTCACCTTGCCGACAAAGATCCGCATAGTCAAAGCTATGGTTTTTCCAGTAGTAAT